TGATCACGAGAGGAGAAGGAAGAGGAGGGACAGCCCCCCTTTTGCAAACGCCTCTCGCTTCTTTTGCGCAGAGAGTGTAGGAGCACCTGGAGGAGACCTTGGTGTTCCTCAACCAGACGACAGAAAGAGACGGCAGAGAGAGACCGGGCTCACACAGGGCTGACCAGCGAGTCAGGGGGCTCTACGCCTCAGGGCTCTGGCCCTGTGTTGCAGACTCGTCTCACTTCTGCCTCAGACCCAGTGTAGGAGCACCTGGAGGAGACCTCGGTGTTCCTCAACCAGACGATAGAAAGAGACGGCAGAGAGAGACCGGGCTCACACAGGGCTGACGAGCGAGTCAGGGGGCTCTACGCCTCAGGGCTCTGGCCCTGTGTTGCAAACTCGTCTCACTTCTGCCTCAGAACCAGTGTAGGAGCACCTGGAGGAGACCTTGGTGTTCCAAGGAGAGAGACCCACCGCTGACAGTCACCATGTCAGACAGGGAGCAGGCGGCCCCCAGAGGGAGGGAGCCAGGTGAGAGCAAAGTGCCCCTCCCTCAGCCTGGCAGAGGGGCTGTCAGGGCGGGCAGTACAGGTGCCATGCCCGGGGCCATTGTCTCTCTCCCCTCCAGCATGCCTGCTGTGTCGGCAATCAGATGCTGACTCGGACATCTGCGGGGAAAAACTCTTCATACATGGGTTCTGTGCCCACGAGAACTGCCTGGTGAGTTGCTCTGTGGGCTCCCTCCACTTTTTGACAGGCAGTCCCTGCCACTCTCTGCTCATCAGTGAGTGGCATTTTCCTGCAGTTTTTTGCCAACAACTTTCCTGACCGCCCGGTTCATCAAGGAGGACTCTGGTGTCTTCACTCATGGGAGATCCGAGATGTAGTCTCCCAGGCGGCAGAGCAGGTGAGAGGCTGACTAGAGCAGGGAGATTTGTGCCAGGCGAGGTTTGCTGGAGCTTAGCTCAGACCCCAGGCAAGAAAACCCAGCCCTTCCAACCAGCTCTGGGACAAGGTGGAGGCCCCGAGGCTGCTGCTGATGGGGCTGCTCTGCTCTTTCCAGAGCTGCAGCATCTGTGGCCAAATCGGGGCCACCATTTACTGCTGTAGAAGACACTGTGATGTGAGCTTCCACCTGCCCTGTGCCAGGCAGGGAGGCTGTGTCACCCAGTTCTGCAGACCATTCAGGTACCTCCTGTCCCCTCCTTGCCACCACCAGGGAAGGGCCCAGCACTTCTCAGCTCACCCACCCCTTTTTCCCCCCAGGGCCTTCTGTGCTGCACACAGACCAGAGCAGGCAGTGGAGGCGACTCCAGAGCCGGGCACCGAATGCCTCATCTGCATGGAGCCTGTGGAGGACAGAAAGACCTTTAACACCCTGGTGTGCCCAGCCTGCAAAAGTGCCTGGTTCCACAGGGACTGCATCCAAGTAGGAGTGATTCTGTCACCTCTGGGGGCACAGCATGGGCTCAGCAGCACCAGGGCCTCACTCTGGCTGTTGTGTTTCTCCTGCAGGGACAGGCTCTGCATGCTGGTTATTTCTCCATCCAGTGCCCCCTCTGCAGAAATGATGACGCATTTCGCAAGGATCTGCTCACCATGGGGATCCGAATCCCCTTCAGGTTGGTGTCCTTCTGCCTGGCTCACAACACAGGGGGTGCAAGTGCTGTGCCGTGCCAGGGCCTGCCCCAGCAGTCCTGGCCCTGCCCTGTTCCGTGAGTCCCAGGTTCAGCTTCCTGCAGGAGCTGGAAATGGCACAGGGGGAAGAGCAGGGACACCCTGCACCTGCCCGATGCCGGGGCAGAGGGAGCTCATCAGTTTTCCTTTTCCATCAGACCACCAACATGGGAGGGCTTTAATGCATTTGATGAGCTGGGAGACAGACACAGGCGCTGTGATGCCAGTGAGTGCCTTTTTCCAGGAGGCAGGCAGGAGGCAGAGCGACAGGGGTAAGTTGCCAAAGCTACACCCTGGGGCTCTGCAGGGCTAGAAGCAGAAGGACCCAGGAGAAGAGCTCAGCCAGATACTCCCACGCTTTGGACACTTTGTCCTCACCTCCATGAACCTGATTGCTTTTCCAGGCCCTGGGAACTGCTCCTGTGCTCCTCCTGTGCTGCCGAGGGCACCCACAGACACTGCTCTGGCCTGAGGGACAGCAGATCCAGCTGGGAATGTGATGGCTGTGCTGGCCTGGGCACATGTAAGAGGCAAAGCACCCTGTTGACCCTGGGCCTGGTGCCCCTGGGCATGGCAGTGGATGCTCAGGGTGGGTTTGGCGGAGCCTGTCTGCTCCAGGAGGGCTGGAGGCACTGCTCTGGCCTATCCTGCCCCAGGTCTGGAGTGGCCTTGACATTCCTGCTTCCCCTCACAGCCTCCCGAGTTGACTCCCGGCTTCCTGGTGTCAGCATGGCCAGGCAGTCAGGACTGGAGCCTTGTGATGGCTCCAGGGAACCCCAGACCACCAGCACCAACGCAGGCATCCTCGTGCTACCAGGGCTGTCTCCCAGTTCTGCACCACTGGAGACCATCAGCCCCAGCACCAGCGCCCAGGTGCCTGCCCCTGGATCTTCAACACCACAGACCAGCCACCGCCGTACCAACCGACAGACAACATGGGAGCAGTCTGTGCAAACTCCCTCACAGGAGACGAGCAGCTCCAGCCCTGAGAGTCAAGTAACATCGGGGTCATCCCACAGCACCTTCACAGAAACTGAGGACAGCAGCAGCTCCAGCAGTCGGGGGCCTGACCGCCGGCAAAACCACCCCCGCCGGCAACGTCGGGCCCAAAATCCACACTTTCGGTCCAGAAGTCCCCTGGACAGGACCCATGAGCCATCACCAAGTCCTGGGAGGCGCAGGCCCAGGCCGAGACCATCGGGGACATCCCGCAGGCGAAACCGCTCCCGCCTGCAACGTGAGACCCCAAATCCATCCGGCCGGTCCAGAAGTCGCCACGACAGGAGCCAGGTGAGAGCGCCCAGTGCTGGGAGGAGCAGCCGCAGCCGGGAGACATCAAGGACATCCCGAACACAAAATCGCTCCCGCCAACAACATCAGACCCCAAATCCATCTGGCCGGTCCAGAAGTCGCCGTGATAGAAACTGTGTGAGAGCACCAAGTGCTGGGAGCCGCATCCCCAGCCAGGAAGCATCAGGGACGTCCCGCAGGCGAAACCGCTCCCGCCGGCAACGTCAGACCCCAAATCCATCCGGCCGGTCCAGAAGTCCCCTTGACAGGAACTGCACGCCAGCACCGAGTGCTGGGAGGCGAAACTCAAGGGAGACAGCAGCCAGGACTTCCCAAAGGCAACAGCACTCCCGCCAGCAGCGGCGGACATGGAACTCATCCACCAGATCCAGAAGTCCCCACGACAGGAGCCGTGTTAGAGCACCCAGTACTGCCAGGCGCACTCACCGGTGGGACGGTGAGACACGGACCCACCGCTGACACGTCCCACGTCAGACAGGGAGGAGGAGGCCCGGAAGGGAGAGAGCCAGGTGAGAGCAAAGTGCCCCTCCCTCAGCCTGGCAGAGGGGCTGTCAGGGCGGGCAGTACAGGTGCCATGCCCGGGGCCATTGTCTCTCTCCCCTCCAGCATGACTGCTCTGTCAACAATCAGAGGCTGACCCGGACATCTGTGGGGAGAAAATGCAGAAACATGGGATCTGTTCCCACGTGTTCTGCCTGGTGAGTTGCTCTCTGGGCTCCCTCCATGTTTTGACAGGCAGTCCCTGCCACTCTCTGCTCATCAGTGAGTTACATTTTCCTGCAGTTTTTTACCAGCCACCTTCCTCTGCACAATGATGATCAAGTACAACTCCAGGGCTTTCTCCCAAGGGATATCCTACATGCAGTCAACCGAGCGGCACAGACGGTGAGAACCTGACAAGAGCAGGGAAATCTGTGCCAGGCGGGGTTTGCTGGAGCTTAGCCCAGACCCCAAGCAAGAAAGCCCAGCCCTTCCAGCCAGCTCTGGGACAAGGAGGAGGCCCTGAGGCTGCTGCTGATGGGGCTGCTCTGCTCTTTCCAGAGCTGCTGCATCTGTGGCCAGAGCGGGGCCACCATCGCCTGCTGGGATGGCACAGGGGGAAGAGCAGGGACACCCTGCACCTGCCCGATGCCAGGGCAGAGGTAGCTCATCAGTTTTCCTTTTCCCATCAGAGCACCATCATGGCAGGGCTTTAATGCATTTGCCCAGCTAGGAGACAGACACAGGCACTGCGATGCCAGTGAGTGCCTTTTTCCAGGAGGCAGGCAGGAGGCAGAGGAGGAGGGGTAAGTTGCCAAAGCTGCACCCCAGGGCTCTGCAGGGCTTGAAGCAGAAGGACCCAGGAGAAGAGCTCAGCCAGATAATCCCACGCTTTGGGGATGAACCTGTTTTCTTCCCCAGGCCCTGGGAACTGCTCCTGTGCTCCTGTGCTGCTGAGGTCACACTCAGGCACTGCTCTGGCCTGAGGGGCAGGGACCCACCGCTGACACGTCCCATGTCAGACAGGGAGGAGGAGCCCCCCGAAGTGAGGGAGCCAGGTGAGAGCAAAGTGCCCCTCCCTCAGCCTGGCAGAGGGGCTGTCGGGGCCAGGAGCAGTGGCACAGGGAGGCAGGAGCTGTCCAGGCATCCCGGGGCTGGGACCCTCCTTTCCTCAGCAAGCGGGGCCCAGCTGGGGCAGGGGACACCTGCTGGGACACTCATACCCACAATGTCCCATCCTCCCCAAGGCCTCCAGCCCTGCCCTTCAGCCAGCCAGGCAGGGACAGAGCAGCCCTTGGGGTCAATCCTGCAGGGAAGCTGCCCCAGCCCTGCAGAGGTGCCATGGTCTCTCTCCCCTCCAGCATGCCTGCTGTGTCAACAGAGGCTGACCCGGACATGTGTGGGGAAAATCTCCAGATAAATGGGTTGTGTGTCCACAAGTTCTGCCTGGTGAGTAGCTCCGTGAGCCCCCTCCATGTTTTGACAGGCAGTCCCTGCCACTCTCTGCTTATCAGTGCATAACATTTTTCCTGCAGTATTTAGCTAGCCACCTCCTTCACCAAGCAGTTGATCGAGTAGGACTCAGTGTTTTCACCCCAAGGGATATCCTAGATGTAGTCTCCTGGGCGGCACAGAAGGTGAGAGCCTGACTAGGAGGCAGGAGCTGGAAATGGCACAGCGGGAAGAGCAGGGACACCCTGCACCTGCCCGATGCCAGGACAGAGGGAGCTCATCACTTTTCCTTTTCCTATCAGACCACCATCATGGAGAACCATACTGCATTCAATGAGCTGGGAGACAGACACAGGCACTGCGATGCCAGTGAGTGCCTTTTTCCAGGAGGCAGGCAGGAGGCAGAGGAGGAGGGGTAAGTTGCCAAAGGTGCACCCCAGGGCTCTGCAGGGCTTGAAGCAGAAGGACCCAGGAGAAGAGCTCAGCCAGATAATCCCACGCTTTGGACACTTTGTCCTCACTTCCATGAACCCGTTTGCTTCCCCAGGCCCTGGGAACTGCTCCTGTGCTCCTCCTGTGCTGCCGAGGGCACCCCCAGGCACTGCTCTGGCCTGAGGGACATCATAACCAGCTGGGAATGTGATGGCTGTGCTGGCCTGGGCACAGGTAAAAGGCAAAGCAGCCTGCTGACCCTGGGCCTGGTGCCCCAGGGCCTGGAAAGGGGTGTCCAGGGTTGGCTTGGCAGAGCCTGTCTGCTCCAGGAGGACTGGAGACACTGCTCTGGCCTATCTTATCCAGGGCCTGGAGCAGCCTTGACCTCCTGCTCCCCTTACAGCATCCAGTTAAGACCCAGAGCTTTTGCTCTCATGAAGGACTCTTCTGACAACTTCAAGGAATACGAGACCATCACCCTCAGTACAAGCAAACTCCATACAAACTGACAGGCAAATCCCTCTCACAAAAGACGAGCAGCTCCAGCCCTGACAGTCAGGTAACATCGGGGTCATCCCACAGCTGCTTCCCAGCAACTGAGGACAGCAGCTGCTCCAGCAGTCGGAGTCCTGACTGCAGGTGAAACCGCTCCCACCAGCACTGTCATACCCCAAATTCATCCAGCAGATCCTGAAGTCACCGTGACAGGAGCCGTGTTAGAGCACCAGTGCTGGGAGCTCCACTCACCAGTGGGACGGTGAGATAGGTACCCACTGCTGACACGTCCCACGTCAGACAGGGAGAAGGAGCCCCCCGAAGGGAGGGAGCCAGGTGAGAGCAAAGTGCCCCTCCCTCAGCCTGGCAGAGGGGCTGTTGGTGCCAGGAGCAGTGGCACGGGGAGGCAGGAGCTGTCCAGGCATCCCGGGGCTGGGACCCTCCTTTCCTCAGCAAACAGGGCCCAGCTGGGGCAGGGGACACCTGCTGGGACACCCGTGCCCACAATGTCCCGTCCTCCCCAAGGCCTCCAGCCCTGCCCTTCAGCCAGCCAGGCAGGGACAGAGCAGCCCTTGGGGTCAATCCTGCAGGGAAGCTGCCCCAGCCCTGCAGAGGTGCCATGGTCTCTCTCCCCTCCAGCATGCCAGCTGTGTGGACGATCAGAGGCTGACCCAGATGTGTGGAGAAAAAATCCAGATAAATGGGCTCTGTTTCCACGAGTTCTGCCGGGTGAGTTGCTTCATGTTTTGACAGGCAGTCCCTGCCACTCTCTCCTCATCAGTACGTGTTGTTTTTTCTACAGGTTTTTGCCAGCCACCTTCATCTGCACAATGATGATCAAGTAGGATTCCAGGGCTTTCTCCCAAGGGATATCCAAGATGTAGTCTCCCGGGAAGCACAGAAGGTGAGAGCCTGAGAAGAGCAGGGAGATTTGTGCCAGGCGGGGTTTGCTGGAGCTTAGCCCAGACCCCAAGCAAGAAAGCCCAGCCCTTCCAACCAGCTCTGGGACAAGGAGGAGGCCCTGAGGCTGCTGCTGAAGGGGCTGCTCTGCTCTTTCCAGAGCTGCTGCATCTGTGGCCAGAACGGGGCCACCATCGCCTGCTGGGAAACAGTCTGTGACCTGAGCTTCCACCTGCCCTGTGCCAAGCAGGGAGGCTGTGTCACCCAGTTCATTCCACCGTACAGGTACCTCCTGTCCCCTCCTTGCCACCACCAGGGAAGGGCCCAGCACTTCTCAGCTCACCCACCCCTTTTCCCCCCAGCTCCTACTGCCCCGCACACAGCCCAGAGCAGGCAGTGGAGGCGACTCCAGAGCCGGGCGCAAACAGAGACATCCTGCAAGCGAAACCACTTCTGGCAGCAATATCAGAGCCCCAATACACAGAGCCAGTCCAGAAGTCATCGTGACAGGAGCCACGTGAGATCACCAAGGGCTGGGAGGTGCAACAGCGGCCAGGAAGAATCGAGGACATCCCAAAGGCAAAACCAGCAATGTCAGACTCCAAATTAATGCAGCCAATCTAGAAGTTGCCGTGACAGGAGCCGTGTGGCCGCCCCAAGTGCTGGGAGATGCACCCCCATCCAGGAAGCATGAAGAACATCACAGATGTGAAACTGGTTCTGTCAGCAACTTATCAAATCCCTTCAATAAATGTATAGGACTGCTTTTTAAAATATTTTTGTGTATTTGCAAAATTATGCAAATGGCACTTTCGATGTCGCAGTGTTTAGTAGATTGTTTCATCCTAATGTTTCACCTGACACATTGGAGGCTATTGCAAAGCCCAAGGCTTAGTAGTATCTTTGTGCAGGTTTCCCTTTCCTCCCCCTTGGCTTTTGGCACAGCTTTCCTTTCCTTCCTATTCTATGGTTTCCCCTTGGTGTTGCAAGGGAGAGGTTTGGAATGTTTTGCAATCCAGCGGTGCCACGGCCTCGATGCACTGAAGGCAGGGAAGCAGTGGCGGGGTGTTGGCAGCCCCGTCCTGTCCCTGCTGCCGGCGGCCCGGGGGCAGGAGCGCCCCGGCGGTGCCATGGCGGGTTCCCCTCAGGTGCGGGCAGCCGCAGCCCGGCTGTGCGGGGCGGCCCCGGCGGTGCCATGGCGGGTTCCCCTCAGGGCGGCCCCGCTGCCCGCGCACGGCGGTATTGCCGGGGCAGCCTCGTCCCGCAGGCACATCTGTGCGCTGTGACCCAGCGGCGACCGCTTCCCGCTCTAAGAGCCCGCAGGAATGGCTGCCTGGCTCCAAACTGCCCGCCGGGAGCGCGCTGGGATCGCAGGGGGAGCTCTGCCCGGGGCAGCCCCCGCACTCAGTCGCCCCGAGCCTTCCCGCCCTCCCGCACACGGCGGCGCTTTGGGAACGGCCGCGGTCGGCGCTGGAGTGGCGGCGCTCGGGCTCGAGGGAGCGCCGCGAGCCCGGGAAAGCGTCGGGAACATTCCGGCACCGAGGGGAGCGCGGGCGCGGAACTTGGGCACCCAGACGATCGCGGGTCCCAGCGGGGGAGGGTCCCGAGGGTCCCGCCCAATGGAGCGCAGGAGAGGACGGCGAGCGGCGAGTGCCGCGGGTTGGGCTTCGCTGCCCTGGAGGCAAAAACTGCACCGTGCGCCATCCAGAGGTTATCCATCGACCTTTCCCCAAACCTGCCGAGTGGGACAGGACATCAGAGCTGCGCCTGCCCAGAGCCCAGGAAAGAAACCCCATCCCTTCCAACCAGCTCCAGGAAAAACATCCGGCTCCCAGCAGCTCCACAGAGGCTCCAGCACAGGAGCCTTGTCCCCCAGACACATCTGTGGGCCGAGCCCTACCCAGAGCCCTGGGGCTGCCTGTGGAAGCCCCGAGGCTGCGGGATTTGCACGGGGTGGCCTTTAAAGGGCTCTCCCAACCCCAAGCCTTCTACCCTTCTACGGCTCTAATCTGCGCTGCAGTGTGGTGCTTACACAAGGGGCAGCTATGCCCTGTGCTGGTTTAAAATCTGCCTGCCAGCCTGAATTCAGGCAGCGAGACAAAGACCCAGCTACCGGATTTTTTTGCTATTCACTAGGTGCCTCTGCGCCCAAAGCTTCAGCCTTCCCAGGACTCGCTGGACAGCAACAGAGCCTTGTGGTGCCTCAGCCACTCCTCCCAGTCCATATCATCAGCAAACATGCTGAGGGTGCTCTCCGTCCCTTCTGCCAGGTCACCGGGCAACCGGTCAAAGGAGGCTGGCCCCAGCACTGAGCGCCGCGCTCACAACCCTCTGAGCTCTGCCATTCAGCCAGGTCTCAACCCCCTCAGTGTCCACTCATCTAAGCCACACTTGCTGAGCTGCCTGGGAGGGTGTTCTGGGAGGCAGGGTGAAAAGCCTTGCTGAAGTCATGGCAGACAACAGGCACTGCTCTCCCCTCATGTACCCAGCCAGTCACTCCAGCAGAGAAGGCTAGGAGACTGGTCAAGCATGATTTCCCCTTCCTTTTATTCCACAGGCTTAGAGATGACATGCAGCATGAGCTGTTCTGTCCCCTTTCTGGGGATGGAGGTGACACTGATGGGCCCACCATTTCCTGGGTCCATCTTGCTGCCCTTTTTGAAGACTGGAGTGATGTCGGCTGCCACAGTCCGTGGGGGGAAGGGAAATGGGACCGGGCACTGCAATAAGGGTTCTCGGCACAGTTGAGGTCTCGTGCAGCAATGCCACTTTATTTAGGGGAAACAAGGGTTTAAATAAAGTAGGTTTGAGGGGTGGATTCTAACCTGGGGAGGCGCAAGAGATTGACAACTCAGGGAAAAGTGTGATAGGGAGACAGGGGAAAGGTGGGTGGAACTCTCGGGTCTCTGAGGGAAAGGGCCAATGGTAGCTCTCCCTGCACTGTGGCAGGCTGTGACCAATCAGCGGCAGAGGAGCGGGAAAACTGGGGAGACAGGGTAACAAACAACTTTTGGAGGGAAAATCTGAGGGAGAAAGGGAGACAATATGGAGGTATGCCAGAATTCATAAAATTTAACAATAAACTGGGGTGCATAAGAATTCATAAACACACAACAATAAACTGGGGAAAAACTGTCAGTCCGGTGGGTGAATTATTCAGTAAGCAACAGGTCCATTTAGATCCCATTTATGTTTTTCCAGGCAGCATATCTCTCCCATTCTATCTTCTCATCCACCACAGTCGGCTTTCCTGCAGTCCTCAGGCACCTCTGCTGGGGAATCAGCGTCCCTGATGTGCTGGCAGTGTTCCCTGGGCCAGGGGCAGGAGCAGAGATCCGCCTTGGCCAGGGCCGGAGCCCTGGAGTGGCACTGCCTGAACAGCACTTTTTGTGCAACAGTGGCTGCCCAAGAGTCCTCGGTGGCTGCCCCAGGGCCTGGCATTTGACCCTGCGCTTGCTGCAGCAGCAGCCGCCCCGGCTCTGTGCTTACCGAGGGCTCGGGACCCGCCTCGGAACCTCGGTTACCAAGGGGCTGCCTCACAGTGGGGGGGTGGGCTGGGGCCATCCCTGCCCCTATTTCAGGTGCATGATGCTGATGTCACAGTGGCCACTGTGACTCGTGAGGCCAAGGGCACAAAATGGGACTCTGGGCTCAGGCCCAGTGTCAGTGTTACCTGATCACGAGAGGAGAAGGAAGAGGAGGGACAGCCCCCCTTTTGCAAACGCCTCTCGCTTCTTTTGCGCAGAGAGTGTAGGAGCACCTGGAGGAGACCTTGGTGTTCCTCAACCAGACGATAGAAAGAGACGGCAGAGAGAGACCGGGCTCACACAGGGCTGACCAGCGAGTCAGGGGGCTCTACGCCTCAGGGCTCTGGCCCTGTGTTGCAGACTCGTCTCACTTCTGCCTCAGACCCAGTGTAGGAGCACCTGGAGGAGACCTTGGTGTTCCTCAACCAGACGACAGAAAGAGACGGCAGAGAGAGACCGGGCTCACACAGGGCTGACCAGCGAGTCAGGGGGCTCTACGCCTCAGGGCTCTGGCCCTGTGTTGCAAACTCGTCTCACATCTGCCTCAGAACCAGTGGAGGAGCACCTGAAGGAGACCTCGGTGTTCCAAGGACAGAGACCCACCGCTGACAGTCACCATGTCAGACAGGGAGGAGGAGGCCCCTGAAGGGAGAGAGCCAGGTGAGAGCAAAGTGCCCCTTCTCAGCCTGGCAGAGGGGCTGTCGGGGTGGGCAGTACAGGTGCCATGCCCGGGGCCATTGTCTCTCTCCCCTCCAGAATGCCTGCTGTGTCGGAGATCAGATGCTGACCTGGACATATGTGGAGATAAAATCCAGAAACATGGGATCTGTGCCCACGTGTTCTGCCTGGTGAGTTGCTCCGTGGGCTCCCTCCACTTTTTGACAGGCAGTCCCTGCCACTCTCTCCTCATCAGTGCGTGTCCTTTTCCTGCAGTATTTTGCCAGCATCCTTGATCAGCAAGGGAATGAACGAGTAGGACTTCAGGGCTTTCTCCCAAGGGATATCCTACATGCAGTCAAACGAGCGGCACAGACGGTGAGAGCCTGACAAGAGCAGGGAAATCTGTGCCAGGCGGGGTTTGCTGGAGCTTAGCCCAGATCCCAAGCAAGGAAGCCCAGCCCTTCCAACCAGCTCTGGGACAAGGAGGAGGCCCTGAGGCTGCTGCTGATGGGGCTGCTCTGCTCTTTCCAGAGCTGCTGCATCTGTGGCCAGAGTGGGGCCACCATCTCCTGCTGTGAAACAGATTGTGACCTGAGCTTCCACCTGCCCTGTGCCAAGCAGGGAGGCTGTGTCACCCAGTTCATTCCACCGTACAGGTACCTCCTGTCCCCTCCTTGCCACCACCAGGGAAGGGCCCAGCACTTCTCAGCTCACCCACCCCTTTTCCCCCCAGCTCCTACTGCCCTGCACACAGCCCACAGCAGGCAGTGGAGGCGACTCCAGAGCCGGGCACCGAATGCCTCATCTGCATGGAGCCTGTGGAGGACAGAAAGACCTTCAACACCATGGTGTGCCCAGCCTGTAAAACCACGTGGTTCCACAGGGACTGCATCCAAGTAGGAGTGGTTCCCTATCCCGAGGGACACAGCAGGGGCTCAGCAGCACCAGGGCCTCACTCTCACTACTTTGTGTTTGTCCTGCAGGGACAGGCTCTGCGCTCTGGATTTTCCTCCTTCCAGTGCCCCATCTGCAGAAACAGGCCGGCATTTCTCGGGGAGATGTTCACCATGGGGATCCGAATCCCCTTCAGGTTGGTGTCCTTCTGCCTGGCTCACAACACAGGGGGTGCAAGTGCTGTGCCGTGCCAGGGCCTGCCCCAGCAGTCCTGGCCCTGCCCTGTTCCGTGAGTCCCGGGTTCAGCTTCCCGCAGGAGCTGGAAATGGCACAGGGGGAAGAGCAGGGACACCCTGCACCTGCCCGATGCCGGGGCAGAGGGAGCTCATCAGTTTTCCTTTTCCATCAGACCACCAACTTGGGAGGAGAATGATGCGTTCGCCGAGCTGTTAGACAGACACAGGCGCTGTGATGCCAGTGAGTGCTTTTATCCAAGAGGCAGGCAGGAGGCAGAGGAGGAGGGGTAAGTTGCCAAAGCTGCATCCTGGGGCTCTGCAGGGCTTGAAGCAGAAGGACCCAAGAGAAGAGCTCAGCCAGATAATCCCATGCTTTGGACACTTTGTCCTCACCTCCATGAACCTGATTGCTTTTCCAGGCCCTGGGAACTGCTCCTGTGCTCCTCCTGTGCTGCCGAGGGCACTCACAGATACTGCTCTGGTGTGCGGAACACCATAACCGGCTGGGAATGTGACAACTGTGCTCGCCAGAGCAGCCGCAGACGCCGTGGCACGACAGTCTGCGCGGACAACTGTGATTGTGACAGCTGTGCTGAGCGCTTCACATGTAAGAAGCAAAGCACCTGAATGGCCCTGGGTCAGGTGCCCCTGGGCCTGGCAATGCGTGCCCAGGGTGGTCTCGGCAGAGCCTGTCAGCTCCAGGAGGGCTGGGGGCGCTGCTCTGGCTTATTCTGCCTTGGGCCTGGGGCGGTCTTGACCTTCCTTGCTTCCCCTTACAGCCTCCAGTGAATTCTCAATCCTTGCTAGACTCATGGAGGAGTCTCCTGCTGTGTCAACAGAAGACGAGACCATCAACCCCAGCACCAGCCAACAGGCAGCATCAGAGCAGTCTGTGCAATCTCCCTCAGAGGAGACGAGCAGCCCCAGCCTCTATAGTCGGGTAACATCAAGGCCATCCCACAGCAACATCCCAGAAACTGAGGACAGCAGCTGCTCTCGCAGTCGGAGGCCTGACCGCCGGCAAAACCGCACCCGCCGGCAAAGTCGGCCCCAAAATCCACAACATCGGTCCAGAAGTCCCCTGGACAGGAGCCATGTGCCGGAACCAACTGCTGCGAGGTGCAGGCCCAGGGAGAGACAATCAGGGCCATCCTGCAGGCGAAGACGCTCCCGCCGGCAAAGTCGTCCCCAAAATCCACACCTTCGGTACCCGAGTCCCTATGACAGGAGATGTTCACCACACCTCCGGTCCCCGAGTCCCCATGACAGGATTTGTTTGCCACCACCACCGAGTCCTCGGAGGCGCAGCCACAGCGAGGAGGCTTCAGAGACATCCAGCAACCGAAACCGCTCCCGCCAGCAACGTCGGCCCCAAAATCCACACCTTCGGTCCAGAAGTCGACGTCACGGGAGCCATGTGAGAACACCAAGGGCTGGGAGCTGCACCGCCACCCAGGAAGCATCAGAGACATCCCGCAGCCGAAACCGCTCCCGCCAGCAACGTCGGCCGCAAAATCCACGCCTTCGGTCCAGAAGTCGCCGTGACAGGAGCCATGTCCCAACACCAAGTACTGGGAGGCGCAGGCCCAGCCAGGAAGAATCGGGGACATCCCGCAGGCGAAATAGCTCCCGCCGCCAAAGTCGGACCTCAAATACATCTGGTCGGTCCAGAAGTCCCCTTGACAGGAACTGCACGCCAGCACCGAGTGCTGGCAGGCGAAACTCAAGGGAGACACCTGCCAGGACTTCCCAAAGACAACAGCACTCCCGCCAGCAGCGTCGGACCTCAGATTCATCCAGCAGATCCAGAAGTCGCCGTGATGGGAGGCGTGATAGAGCACCCAGTGCTGGGAGCCCCGCTCACCGCTCAGACGGTGAGACAGGGACTCCCCACTGATGCGTTACATGTCAGAGAGGAAGGAGGAGGCCCCCGAAGGGAGGGAGCCAGGTGAGAGCAAAGTGCCCCTCCCTCAGCCTGGCAGAGGGGCTGTCAGGGCGGGCAGTACAGGGTGCCATGCCCGGGGCCATTGTCTCTCTCCCCTCCAGCATGCCTGCTGTGTGGACGGTCAGAGGCTGACCCGGACATCTGCGGGGAAAATCTCCAGATAAATGGGCTCTGTGCCGACGAGTTCTGCCTGGTGAGTTGCTTCATGAGCTCCCTCCATGTTTTGACAGGCAGTCCCTGCCACTCTCTCCTCATCAGTACGTGTCCTTTTTTTCTACAGTTTTTTGCCAGCCACCTTCCTCTGCACAATGATGATCCAGTAGGATTCCAGGGCTTTCTCCCAAGGGATATCCTAGATGTAGTCTCCCGGGAAGCACAGAAGGTGAGAGCCTGACAAGAGCAGGGAGATTTGTGCCAGGCAAGGTTTGCTGGAACTTAGCCCAGACCCCAAGCAAGAAAGCCCAGCCCTTCCAACCAGCTCTGGGACAAGGAGGAGGCCCTGAGGCTGCTGCTGAAGGGGCTGCTCTGCTCTTTCCAGAGCTGCTGCATCTGTGGCCAGAGCGGGGCCACCATCGCCTGCTGGGATGGCACAGGGGGAAGAGCAGGGACACCCTGCACCTGCCCGATGCCAGGACAGAGGGAGCTCATCAGTTTTCCTTTTCCCATCAGACCACCATCATGGAGAACCATACTGCATTCAATGAGCTGGGAGACAGACACAGGCACTGCGATGCCAGTGAGTGCCTTTTTCCAGGAGGCAGGCAGGAGGCAGAGGAGGAGGGGTAAGTTGCCAAAGGTGCACCCCAGGGCTCTGCAGGGCTTGAAGCAGAAGGACCCAGGAGAAGAGCTCAGCCCGATAATCCCAAGCTTTGGGGATGAACCCGTTTTCTTCCCCAGGCCCTGGGAACTGCTCCTGTGCTCCTGTGCTGCTGAGGTCACACTCAGGCACTGCTCTGGCCTGAGGGGCAGGGACCCACCGCTGACACGTCCCATGTCAGACAGGGAGGAGGAGCCCCCCGAAGTGAGGGAACCAGGTGAGAGCAAAGTGCCCCTCCCTCAGCCTGGCAGAGGGGCTGTTGGTGCCAGGAGCAGTGGCACGGGGAGGCAGGAGCTGTCCAGGCATCCCGGGGCTGGGACCCTCCTTTCCTCAGCAAGCGGGGCCCAGCTGGGGCAGGGGACACCTGCTGGGACACCCATACCCACAGTGTCCCGTCCTCCCCAAGGCCTCCAGCCCTGCCCTTCAGCCAGCCAGGCAGGGACAGAGCAGCCCTTGGGGTCAATCCCGCAGGGAAGCTGCCCCAGCCCTGCAGAGGTGCCATGGTCTCTCTCCCCTCCAGCATGCCTGCTGTGTCAACAGAGGCTGACCCGGACATGTGTGGGGAAAATCTCCAGATAAATGGGTTGTGTGTCCACAAGTTCTGCCTGGTGAGTAGCTCCGTGAGCCCCCTCCATGTTTTGACAGGCAGTACCTGCCACTCTCTGCTTATCAGTGCATAACATTTTTCCTGCAGTATTTTGCTAGCCACCTCCTTCACCGAGCAGTTGATCGAGTAGGACTCAGTGTTTTCACCCCAAGGGATATCCTAGATGTAGTCTCCTGGGCGGCACAGAAGGTGAGAGCCTGACTAGGAGGCAGGAGCTGGAAATGGCACAGCGGGAAGAGCAGGGACACCCTGCACCTGCCCGATGCCAGGACAGAGGGAGCTCATCAGTTTTCCTTTTCCTATCAGACCACCATCATGGAGAACCATACTGCATTCAATGAGCTGGGAGACAGACACAGGCACTGCGATGCCAGTGAGTGCCTTTTTCCAGGAGGCAGGCAGGAGGCAGAGGAGGAGGGGTAAGTTGCCAAAGGTGCACCCCAGGGCTCTGCAGGGCTTGAAGCAGAAGGACCCAGGAGAAGAGCTCAGCCAGATAATCCCACGCTTTGGACACTTTGTCCTCACTTCCATGAACCCGTTTGCTTCCCCAGGCCCTGGGAACTGCTCCTGTGCTCCTCCTGTGCTGCCGAGGGCACCCCCAGGCACTGCTCTGGCCTGAGGGACATCATAACCAGCTGGGAATGTGATGGCTGTGCTGGCCTGGGCACAGGTAAAAGGCAAAGCAGCCTGCTGACCCTGGGCCTGGTGCCCCAGGGCCTGGAAAGCGGTGTCCAGGGTTGGCTTGGCAGAGCCTGTCTGCTCCAGGAGGACTGGAGACACTGCTCTGGCCTATCTTATCCAGGGCCTGGAGCAGCCTTGACCCTCCTGCTCCCCTTACAGCATCCAGTTAAGACCCAGAGCTTTTGCTCTCATGAAGGACTCTTCTGACAACTTCAAGGAATACGAGACCATCACCCTCAGTACAAGCAAACTCCATACAAACTGACAGGCAAATCCCTCTCACAAAAGACGAGCAGCTCCAGCCCTGACAGTCAGGTAACATCGGGGTCATCCCACAGCTGCTTCCCAGCAACTGAGGACAGCAGCTGCTCCAGCAGTTGGAGTCCTGACTGCAGGCGAAACCGCTCCCACCAGCACTGTCATACCCCAAATTCATCCAGCAGATCCTGAAGTCACCGTGACAGGAGCCGTGTTAGAGCACCAGTGCTGGGAGCTCCACTCACCAGTGGGACGGTGAGACAGGGACCCACCGCTGACACGTCCCACGTCAGACAGGGAGGAGGAGCACCCGAAGGGAGGGAGCCAGGTGAGAGCAAAGTGCCCCTCCCTCAGCCTGGCAGAGGGGCTGTCGGTGCCAGGAGCAGTGGCACGGGGAGGCAGGAGCTGTCCAGGCATCCCGGGGCTGGGACCCTCCTTTCCTCAGCAAGCGGGGCCCAGCTGGGGCAGGGGACACCTGCTGGGACACCCATACCCACAGTGTCCCGTCCTCCCCAAGGCCTCCAGCCCTGCCCTTCAGCCAGCCAGGCAGGGACAGAGCAGCCCTTGGGGTCAATCCCGCAGGGAAGATGCCCCAGCCCTGCAGAGGTGCCATGGTCTCTCTCCCCTCCAGCATGCCAGCTGTGTGGACGATCAGAGGCTGACCCGGACATATGTGGAGAAAAAATCCAGATAAATGGGCTCTGTTTCCACGAGTTCTGCCGGGTGAGTTGCTTCATGTTTAGACAGGCAGTCCCTGCCACTCTCTCCTCATCAGTACGTGTCCTTTTTTCTACAGGTTTTGCCAGCCACCTTCCTCTGCACAATGATGATCCAGTAGGATTCCAGGGCTTTCTCCCAAGGGATATCCAAGATGTAGTCTCCCGGGAAGCACAGAAGGTGAGAGCCTGAGAGGAGCAGGGAGATTTGTGCCAGGTGAGGTTTGCTGGAGCTTAGCCCAGACCCCAAGCAAGAAAGCCCAGCCCTTCCAACCAGCTCTGGGACAAGGAGGAGGCCCTGAGGCTGCTGCTGATGGGGCTGCTCTGATCTTTCCAGAGCTGCTGCATCTGTGGCCAGAACGGGGCCACCATCTCCTGCTGGGAAACAGATTGTGACCTGAGCTTCCACCTGCCCTGTGCCAAGCAGGGAGGCTGTGTCACCCAGTTCATTCCACCATACAGGTACCTCCTGTCCCCTCCTTGCCACCACCAGGGAAGAGCCCAGCACTTCTCAGCTCACCCACCCCTTTTCCCCCCAGCTCCTACTGCCCCGCACACAGCCCAGAGCAGGCAGTGGAGGCGACTCCAGAGCCGGGCGCAAACAGAGACATCCTGCAAGCGAAACCACTTCTGGCAGCAATATCAGAGCCCCAATACACAGAGCCAGTCCAGAAGTCATCGTGACAGGAGCCACGTGAGATCACCAAGGGCTGGGAGGTGCAACAGCGGCCAGGAAGAATCGAGGACATCCCAAAGGCAAAACCAGCAATGTCAGACTCCAAATTAATGCAGCCAATCTAGAAGTTGCCGTGACAGGAGCGGTGTGGCCGCCCCAAGTGCTGGGAGATGCACCCCCATCCTGGAAGCATCAAGAACATCACAGACGTGAAACCGGTTCTGTCAGCAACTTATCAAATCCCTTCAATAAATGTATAGGACTGCTTTTTAAAATATTTTTGTGTATTTGCAAAATTATGCAAATGGCACTTTCGATGTCGCAGTGTTTAGTAGATTGTTTCATCCTAATGTTTCACCTGACACAGTGGAGGCTATTGCAAAGCCCAAGGCTCAGTAGTATCTTTGCGCAGGTTTCCCTTTCCTCCCCCTTGGCTTTTGGCACAGCTTTCCTTTCCTTCCTATTCTATGGTTTCCCCTTGGTGTTGCAAGGGAGAGGTTTGGAATGTTTTGCAATCCAGCGGTGCCACCGCCTTGATGCACTGAAGGCAGGGAAGCAGTGGCGGGGTGTTGGCAGCCCCGTCCTGTCCCTGCTGCCGGCGGCCCGGGGGCAGGAGCGCCCCGGCGGTGCCATGGCGGGTTCCCCTCAGGTGTGGGCAGCCGCAACCCGGCTGTGCGGGGCGGCCCCGGCGGTGCCATGGCGGGTTCCCCTCAGGTGTGGGCAGCCGCAGCCCGGCTGTGCGGGGCGACCCCGGCGGTGCCATGGCGGGTTCCCCTCAGGGCGGCCCCGCTGCCCGCGCACGGCGGTGTTGCCGGGGCAGCCTCGTCCCCCAGGCACATCTGTGCGCTGTGACCCAGCGGCGACCGCTTCCCGCTCTAAGAGCCCGCAGGAATGGCTGCCTGGCTCCAAACTGCCCGCCGGGAGCGCGCTGGGATCGCAGGGGGAGCTCTGCCCGGGGCAGCCCCCGCACTCAGTCGCCCCGAGCCTTCCCGCCCTCCCGCACACGGCGGCGCTTTGGGAACGGCCGCGGTCGGCGCTGGAGTGGCGGCGCTCGGGCTCGAGGGAGCGCCGCGAGCCCGGGAAAGCGTCGGGAACATTCCGGCACCGAGGGGAGCGCGGGCGCGGAACTTGGGCACCCAGACGATCGCGGGTCCCAGCGGGGGAGGGTCCCGAGGGTCCCGCCCAATGGAGCGCAGGAGAGGACGCCGAGCGGCGAGTGCCGCGGGTTGGGCTTCGCTGCCCTGGAGGCAAAAACTGCACCGTGCGCCATCCAGAGGTTATCCATCGACCTTTCCCCAAACCTGCCGAGTGGGACAGGACATCAGAGCTGCGCCCTGCCCAGAGCCCAGGAAAGAAACCTCATCCCTTCCAACCAGCTCCAGGAAAAACATCCGGCTCCCAGCAGCTCCACAGAGGCTCCAGCACAGGAGCCTTGTCCCCCAGACACATCTGTGGGCCGAGCCCTACCCAGAGCCCTGGGGCTGCCTGTGGAAGCCCCGAGGCTGTGGGATTTGCACGGGGTGGCCTTTAAAGGGCTCTCCCAACCCCAAGCCTTCTACCCTTCTACGGCTCTAATCTGCGCTGCAGTGTGGTGCTTACACAAGGGGCAGCTATGCCCTGTGCTGGTTTAAAATCTGCCTGCCAGCCTGAATTCAGGCAGCGAGACAAAGACCCAGCTACCGGATTTTTTTGCTATTTTCTAGGTGCCTCTGAGCCCAAAGCTTCAGCCTTCCCAGGACTCGCTGGACAGCAACAGAGCCTTGTGGTGCCTCAGCCACTCCTCCCAGTCCATATCATCAGCAAACATGCTGAGGGTGCTCTCCGTCCCTTCTGCCAGGTCACCGGGCAACCGGTCAAAGGAGGCTGGCCCCAGCACTGAGCGCCGCGCTCACAACCCTCTGAGCTCTGCCATTCAGCCAGGTCTCAACCCCCTCAGTGTCCACTCATCTAAGCCACACTTGCTGAGCTGCCTGGGAGGGTGTTCTGGGAGGCAGGGTGAAAAGCCTTGCTGAAGTCATGGCAGACAACAGGCACTGCTCTCCCCTCATGTACCCAGCCAGTCACTCCAGCAGAGAAGGCTAGGAGACTGGTCAAGCATGATTTCCCCTTCCTTTTATTCCACAGGCTTAGAGATGACATGCAGCATGAGCTGTTCTGTCCCCTTTCTGGGGATGGAGGTGACACTGATGGGCCCATCATTTCCTGGGTCCATCTTGCTGCCCTTTTTGAAGACTGGAGTGATGTCGGCTGCCACAGTCCGTGGGGGGAAGGGAAATGGGACCGGGCACTGCAATAAGGGTTCTCGGCACAGTTGAGGTCTCGTGCAGCAATGCCACTTTATTTAGGGGAAACAAGGGTTTAAATAAAGTAGGTTTGAGGGGTGGATTCTAACCTGGGGAGGCGCAAGAGATTGACAACTCAGGGAAAAGTGTGATAGGGAGACAGGGGAAAGGTGGGTGGAACTCTCGGGTCTCTGAGGGAAAGGGCCAATGGTAGCTCTCCCTGCACTGTGGCAGGCTGTGACCAATCAGCGGCAGAGGAGCGGGAAAACTGGGGAGACAGGGTAACAAACAACTTTTGGAGGGAAAATCTGAGGGAGAAAGGGAGACAATATGGAGGTATGCCAGAATTCATAAAATTTAACAATAAACTGGGGTGCATAAGAATTCATAAACACACAACAATAAACTGGGGAAAAACTGTCAGTCCGGTGGGTGAATTATTCTTTTGCACAGAGAGTGTAGGAGCACCTGGAGGAGACCTCGGTGTTCCTCAACCAGACGACAGAAAGAGACGGCAGAGAGAGACCGGGCTCACACAGGGCTGACCAGTGAGTCAGGGGGCTCTACGCCTCAGGGCTCTGGCCCTGTGTTGCAGACTCGTCTCACATCTGCCTCAGAACCAGTGGAGGAGCACCTGGAGGAGACCTCGGTGTTTTAAGGACAGAGACCCACCGCTGACAGTCATCATGTCACACAGGGAGGAGGAGGCCCCCAGAGGGAGGGAGCCAGGTGAGAGCAAAGTGCCCCTCCCTCAGCCTGGCAGAGGGGCTGTCAGGGCGGGCAGTACAGGTGCCATGCCCGGGCCATTGTCTCTCTCCCCTCCAGCATGCCTGCTGTGTCGGCAATCAGATGCTGACTCGGACATCTGCGGGGAAAAACTCTTCATACATGGGTTCTGTGCCCACGAGAACTGCCTGGTGAGTTACTCTGTGGGCTCCCTCCACTTTTTGACAGGCAGTCCCTGCCACTCTCTGCTCATCAGTGTGTGGCATTTTCCTGCAGTTTTTTGCCAACAACTTTCCTGACCGCCCGGTTCATCGAGGAGGACTCTGGTGTCTTCACTCATGGGAGATCCGAGATGTAGTCTCCCAGGCGGCAGAGCAGGTGAGAGGCTGACTAGAGTAGGGAGATTTGTGCCAGGCGAGGTTTGCTGGAGCTTAGCTCAGACCCCAGGCAAGAAAACCCAGCCCTTCCAACCAGCTCTGGGACAAGGTGGAGGCCCTGAGGCTGCTGCTGATGGGGCTGCTCTGCTCTTTCCAGAGCTGCAGCATCTGTGGCCAAATCGGGGCCACCATTTACTGCTGTAGAAGACACTGTGATGTGAGCTTCCACCTGCCCTGTGCCAAGCAGGGAGGCTGTGTCACCCAGTTCTGCAGACCATTCAGGTACCTCCTGTCCCTTCCTTGCCACCACCAGGGAAGGGCCCAGCACTTCTCAGCTCACCCAACCCTTTTTCCCCCCAGGGCCTTCTGTGCTGCACACAGGCCAGAGCAGGCAGTGGAGGCGACTCCAGAGCCGGGCACCGAATGCCTCATCTGCATGGAGCCTGTGGAGGACAGAAAGACCTTTAACACCCTGGTGTGCCCAGCCTGCAAAAGTGCCTGGTTCCACAGGGACTGCATCCAAGTAGGAGTGATTCTGTCACCTCTGGGGGCACAGCATGGGCTCAGCAGCACCAGGGCCTCACTCTGGCTGTTGTGTTTCTCCTGCAGGGACAGGCTCTGCATGCTGGTTATTCCTCCATCCAGTGCCCCCTCTGCAGAAATGATGACGCATTTCGCAAGGATCTGCTCACCATGGGGATCCGAATCCCCTTCAGGTTGGTGTCCTTCTGCCTGGCTCACAACACAGGGGGTGCAAGTGCTGTGCCGTGCCAGGGCCTGCCCCAGCAGTCCTGGCCCTGCCCTGTTCCGTGAGTCCCAGGTTCAGCTTCCTGCAGGAGCTGGAAATGGCACAGGGGGAAGAGCAGGGACACCCTGCACCTGCCCGATGCCGGGGCAGAGGGAGCTCATCAGTTGTCCTTTTCCATCAGACCACCAACATGGGAGGGCTTTAATGCATTTGATGAGCTGGGAGACAGACACAGGCGCTGTGATGCCAGTGAGTGCCTTTTTCCAGGAGGCAGGCAGGAGGCAGAGGGACAGGGGTAAGTTGCCAAAGCTGCATCCTGGGGCTCTGCAGGGCTAGAAGCAGAAGGACCCAGAAGAGCTCAGCCAGATACTCCCATGCTTTGGACACTTTGTCCTCACCTCCATGAACCCGTTTGCTTCCCCAGGCCCTGGGAACTGCTCCTGTGCTCCTCCTGTGCTGCCGAGGGCACCCACAGACACTGCTCTGGCCTGAGGACCAGTATAACCAGCTGGGAATGTGATGGCTGTGCTGGCCTGGGCACATGTAAGAGGCAAAGCACCCTGTTGACCCTGGGCCTGGTGCCCCTGGGCATGGCAGTGGATGCTCAGGGTGGGTTTGGCGGAGCCTGTCTGCTCCAGGAGTACTGGAGACACTGCTCTGGCCTATCCTGCCCCAGGTCTGGGGTGGCCTTGACATTCCTGCTTCCCCTCACAGCCTCCCGAGTTGACTCCCGGCTTCCTGGTGTCAGCATGGCCAGGCAGTCAGGACTGGAGCCTTGTGATGGCTCCAGGGAACCCCAGACCACCAGCAGAATGTCCCACAATGGTCTGGGTTGGAAGGGACCTTAAAGACCATCTCATTCCAGGCAGTCTCATTCCAAGACCATCCCTGCCCATGGCAGGGACACCTTCCACTAGCCCAGGGTGCTCCAAGCCCCGTCCAACCTGGCCTTGGACACTCCCAGGGATGGGGCAGCCACAGCTTCTCTGGGAAACCTGTTCCAGGGCCTCACCACCTTCAAAGGGAGGAATTTCTTCCTAATATTTAATCTAAATCTGTCATCTTTTAGTATTAGAACAAGGGGGGATGTTTTTAAACTATCTGCCCTTAAAAATATGAATTCCTCCTGTCTGAGCTGAGCCCAAGCTGCGTTCCTGCCTCTGACTGGGCACATCTCACTGCTCTGATTCCCAACACACTGGGAAAGCGAGCGGAGCCACGTGGGACTGTGCATAACCTGTGTCCAAGAGAGGAGGAGGAGGTAGAGAAATGCAGTTTTGGGGTTTCATTGAGGGCAACATCTTTTGTATTCTCCTGCCCTTCCAAACAACTAGGGCCATACAGTGAAGGAGAAGCACATGAGAGGGTTGCTTCCATGTGAGCTGCAGGTTCCTCTGTCAGCCCTGCAGGTCTCTCCAGGTTTGTCATCCATCTGCCCATCACAAACAGCTGAGAGTCTATGCAGCTCATCCTCCCCAAGGCTTTAGGATCCTCTGGATGAAAGAGGGGTGCCAGGTAAGCAGTACAATAACAACAATAACAATCCAAGGGCATTTGTTAACTCTCTAGGCCGCACATCTAAAGAGCCCTTGACTCAGTTTTGCAAAATAGAGATTTCAGTTTTAAATATCAGCCTTCCCCATTCTCAGAGGAATTATGTGTACCTGGTAGCAGCAACATCAGGGATCTAGGTCTGATTTTTTAAAAGATGGCTCTTAACCCACTGAACAAAGACAGAGCTGTCTCCATCACTGGTTAATTTTCACTCTGTAACTGAGGACTAACCCATGACTTCAGACTGTGTGGCGGCTGCTGGTAACAAATTCAGCCTTTTTCTCCTGAGCTTTGTGGAGGTGGTAGGTCAGCAGCAGTGGGAAGCTCAGTAATAGCTGGAAGGTGATTCTGACTGTTGTTCCACTTGAGTCAGGTGTCCTGCAGCATCCCTTTGGAGCCTCCTCCGGAGGATGTACAAGAGCTGAACTCTGAGTAGTGATGGTGCAGGCTGGCCAACACCTCCAATAATTTGGGTAAAATGAAGTGCAGACAGCAGCTCTAAAAACAGCTGACTCAGTTCTGGCAGCTTCCCATCAGCAGGTGACACTGGTGAGTACAACTAACTCTCCCAGTGACCCTTTCCTACTCCCAGGTGTTGTAGGTGTGACCTGTGCAGAAGGCGATGTACAGGCACAGGGCTTAGAGCTCATGGAGTATCTTCCTTTGTGTGTTAGCTCAGATTTTAATTCATGCCAGGCTTTTTTTGATCTACCATTGCATTTTCTTTAAGATCAGGATGATGTGCTGCCTGCTGAGCAGTGTCTGAAGGGTGTCTGCATCCGGGGGTTAAATGAAAGTGATGGCACTGCCCTTCAACTCGCTCATGTGAGGCTCCTGTCACTTGTGAGCCCTCTAATTTCATTACTCAGCAAGCTGCTGAAATTGATTTTGGTTCTCCAGCTGTTAGCAAGGGTAAAATTACATTTTTACTAGATTTCAGGCTTTCAGCAAATTAACTTGAAGCCAATCAGGATTCTTCGGGGAGTATAGGAAGCAGAATAATTAGCCAAGCCATAAAAATCTAACAAAAAAAAAGGTGCCAAATAAAAGGCCAGTTCTCTCTTTAAAAGTTTTATATCAGTGTGGTTCCACTTACGTAAATTATTGGTATAAACAAAGGGTCCTTGCTCCCTTTTAATTTTAATATATTTTCTCCAATTAATAGGAATAATGTGTTTTGAGTTCTTATTAGGAGAACATTGCTGTAACCACTTACAGAATCTCTTCCAGAGGATGCTCCTTCCTTCAGGGATGCCTCTCATGCTTGAGAATTAAAACCAGTTTGAGGCATTCTTATATAGAATCTGCAGACCCATTTCCCCAGGTGATACCATGCCTCTTGTTAGGTGGAGATGTTCAGTCAGTCTCAGTTTACCTTTTGGAGTTTGGGACAGTTGTAGTTGTGACCACTGTTGTTGTGCAGGAAGGTGCCCTTGTTTGTGGGTGTATCTCCTGTTTTCCACAGGAAAAGCACCTGCTGGGTTTTTTCATCACCATATTTTGACTTACCCTTTTTTCTCTCTGTAGCCTGTAACCCTTGAGTTTCAGCCTTGGGTTGCTGGGCCAGCCTGGGCACTCCATGGGCAGCCAGAGGTCTCTGTCCTGGCACCTTTGGTCTGGGAGGAATCTTTGTCCGTGTGGAATTTTGGGAGTCGGGCTGGCAGTTTCAGTGCAGGGCTGAAAAAAGCAAACAAGAGCCCTTATCCCCAGGAAAGAAAGCCTGTTTTAGACTTGTGGTCTCTGTTTTGGTCTCCCATGAGCTGTCCATCCCTACAAGCTCTTTTGCTGCCTTTCCTTGCCACTGCTGCCATTTTTCCAGCTTCTTTATCAAGACGGTTAGAGGAATCATCCTGTCTCCCTCTTTCTGAGCCTATCTCCAGATATGCTTGTCTATCCCTCAGGTGGTGGGTTCTTATCTCTCTGACATGCCAATCTTAGCCTTTACTACTTGGATAATTTCACTGTCATGAGGCACATCAAGTGCCACCTTATCCTTGTTTCCAATCTCAAAACATCCCAGTAGCTGTCAACATGTATTACCTCGCTTTCATTTCTTCACCTGCCTCTTGTGCTCAGCAATGTCCATCTTTATTTTATCCCTGAAACTATTTTCCCCACTTTTTTCTTTTGATTCTTCTCTGCTCTCCAGGACATAAACGTGCCATTATGCCTTGGCGTATTTTTGCAAGTTTGTTTTTGAACATGCCCCCTTCCTTAGCTGTATTCTAGAAAAGAACAAATCAAAACGAATTTCCTCAGCATCCCTGATGTAACATGTATGTAATATATATGGGAGAATATGTGCTTATTCCTATTTAAATAGCTGGAATAAGTGGTTTATTGGTGATGGAATAAATGGTGGAGGAGGTGGGTAGGAGGCACAGGGTCTGGATAAGGGAAGGGGGGAAGCTTGTTCTTGGGTTCCTGAAGTTTGGAATTCCAAACCCAGAGAGGCAGGTTTGGTTTTTACCTGGTGGGTAACTCCATCTGAAGCCCGAGGGATGATGTCAGTGTTCCCAAAGATGCTCCAGAACCTCATAGCATCTCTTTGCCTTGGCTCCTGGACTGTGCAGGGCTGCAGGTGGTGGTCAGGACTCCTGGATGGAATAACATGGTAGAGTAAAAGCAGTGACCATAAAGCCCGTGGACAACTGTTCCTCTCCAGCCTCGTTGTCTCGTAGGGGCAGGAAATTCTCATTTTCAATTCTCGTTTTCAATTCTCATTTTCAGTTCTCACAAAGCAGTAAAATCGGCACTGGCCGGTTTTGGCTTTTTTATGCTCCAGCAGCAACATCTTGTGGCTCCTGGGGTTATTGCACACGCCGGGCGCTGCTGTTCTGTGTCCGCAAGGTTCTTGAATCCTTTCCAGGGATTTCTCCGTCATTCCCTCCCAGCGAGGAGGGCGGGAACCCGCCTGCCGCTCCCACCGCCACCTTTTGTAGGTTTTTAAGGGGAAGGCGCAGAGAATATCGTGTTTATCCTAAGCTGGTGTGGAGCGGTTGAGGCCATGTGCCATGGTGTGTCCCATCCTCATCAGGGGGGTCCCCTCAGTGCAGGGTGACGGGATCCCCTCAGTGCAGGGTGAGGAGATCCCTCAGTGCAGGGGGATGAGATTCCCCTCAGTGCAGGGGGATGAGATCCCTCAGTGCAGGGTGAGGAGATCCCTCAGTGCAGGGTAAGGAGATCCCTCAGTGCAGGGGGAGGAGATCCCTCAGTGCAGGGGGATGAGATTCCCCTCAGTGCAGGGGGATGAGATCCCTCAGTGCAGGGTGAGGAGATCCCTCAGTGCAGGGTGAGGAGATCCCTCAGTGCAGGGGGATGAGATTCCCCTCAGTGCAGGGGGATGAGATCCCTCAGTGCAGGGTGAGGAGATCCCTCAGTGCAGGGTGAGGAGATCCCTCAGTGCAGGGGGATGAGATTCCCCTCAGTGCAGGGGGATGAGATCCCCTCAGTGTGGCATGAGGGGTGTCCCCCTAAGTGTGGGGCAATGTGTTCCCCCTCACAGTAGGGTAGAGTGTCCTCTCCTCAGCATGAGGTGTCCCCCTCAACATGGGATGTCCCCCACAGTGTGGGGCAATGTGTTCCCCCTCAGAGTGTCCGGGGGGGGGTCTGTCCTCAGGCTTGGGTGACCCCTCAGTGGAGGGCAGTGTGTTCTCCCTCAGAGTGGTGTGTTGGGTCTGCTCCTCAGTGCAGGATGTCCCCCTCAGCACAGGGCAGTGTGTCCCCTCCTCAACATGGCATGGTGGGTCGCCTCCATGGAGGGTGGTGTGTTCCCCCTCATGTGGGGTGGGGTGTCCCCTCCTCCACGTGGGGTGTCCCCTGGGCTTGTGCAGCAGCTGCCACAACACCCTGACTTGGCCTGAGGCATTTGGTGTTTCTGGAGTGCTTCTCAACCTTAGCCATGCTTTTAATGCTTCAGTGTTGACTATAGGCAGTGTAAATTTGAGTCTGGCCATAGAGACAGAATATTCCACAGAGATGGAATACTCAGGGAGAATGTGGCCACACAGGTCTTGTCGGAATTGGGCTGTAATCTGGTACTTTCCATGCTGTGAGGCCGTGTGTGTAATTGCTTCATCCTTTTCCTTGGTACAGGCATGTGCCAAGTACACTGCTGACCCTAGCACGTAATTTTTTTTTTCAGTAACAAATGAAAATAGTGAGGGGAAAAAGGAGGTATTTCTAAAGGAAACTTTCACTATAAACTTTAAAAATGAAATCCGCTGATTCGGGATAACTGATATGTCCTGCTTCCTTCAAACTGTCACCTTGTGTTACGCACAAGATGTGACCTGTGAGCAGGCATCCCCAGAACAAGCCAGATTATATCTGGTCACGTCAGAGGCTTCAGCAGTCACTCCGAGACAGGCA